ACTTGGTTCAGTTGTTGTAGTGGTTAACTTGTAATAATTTGGTAATTTCTCTCTTTAGAGAATGAAGCCGGATATTTCTTCCATTATCTAAAAAAGATAGGGGGTTTGCCAATGCAAGTAATTACTGGATTAACTCCGCCTAAATCCATATCTCATATGTCTGGTAATTGATTAACTGGCATATGGAAAAATGAAGATATTGATTTGTGGGTCTTGCAGCTCTTCGCGTTGGGCAATATGATGTACAAGTAATGATCTTGTTTTTGAGAAAAAACGATACACACTTTTTATATACATATCCTACCTTCTTTGGATATTGGTTGCAATTTTTGACATTATTGTAACAAACATGAAGACACAAGGGAGTCCATCCGACAGGCGAGCAGAGCTTTAGAGGTTGTGCATTTAGACATTTTCACCAAAAAAATGGATTGAGAAGCAACAAAGATGGTGCACTCTTGCTGCTGAAATGTAAGGAGGCCAGGGGGTGTGGAGAGAGTTAAACATGGAGGAGACAAAGATGCAGACTAGCCGAGGCTAATTCAGCGAAGGAGATGGTGGAATACATTCTCAGGATGGGGAGAAAGGAACAGTTAATAACGGTTATGCTGCTGTGGCTCTGGTGGGTGTGGGTGTGTGGGTGTGGGGGTGGGGGGAGACAAGTTCAGAGAAGAAGGAGAAAGAAGACCGGCCTCTGAAGTTGCATATATTACAGCGCTATTGACTGACACTTTTCAGAAAACATAAGGAGAAAGGAGTGTGCCAGAAAACTGTCAGAGGGAGCGATGGTTAAAACCTAAACTGGGAGTAGTCAAAATAAACTCTGATGGGGCGTTTCATGAAGCGAGTAAGTCGGGTGGCTGGGGCTTCGTTCTCAGTGATGAGTGGGGACGGGTGCTGAAAGCTAGAGCAGGCCCCGAGGAGTTTCTGCAGGATGCCTTCCACGCGGAGTTGCTAGGCCTCCTCGCCGGCCTGAAGGAAGCCTTAACATGGGCGTGGGGAGAGCAACGCTTGAGACTGATGCAACTATGGTGAAGCTGGCGATTGGGGGGGGAACGAGTTCAGACTCTCGTCGCGATGGGTGGCGTCATCACATAGATCAAACACTTGTTACTAGGTAGTCCAGTTTCTTGTAGCGTCTGCCCTCGCACTGTAATAATTATTTGGCCCAGACTTCCCGCCCAGCCCTAGCTTGTTAGGGGGTGTTTGGTTGCCCCTCTTAAATTTTAGTCGCTGTCCCATCGGATGTTTGAACACATGCATGAAGTATTAAATATAGACTAATTACGAAATTAATTACATAGTTTGCGACTAATTTGCGAGACGAATCTTTTGAGTCTAATTAGTCCATGATTTGGCAATGTTTTGCTACAGTAAACATGTGCTAATAACGGATTAATTAGGCTTCAAAAATTCATCTCGTGGAGTACTGACGAATTATGTAATTTGTTTTTTTATTAGTATCCGAACACCTCATACAAAATCCTCCCGACACACCTCCTAAATTTTAGTAACCGGATCCAAAACCCCCCTAACTTTGCTAGCTAGTAGCCCAGACAAGACGCCCCTGTTTTCAATGCAATTGAGAGAATATATCTATTAGGCCATCTTATTATTAGTTATGACTCCAGGCATCATGTACCTTGCTTGTGTATTTAAAAAATGGACTTATCTCTCGCCTTGAAAAACAGCCGCCGCCGCCGCCGTACCTTGCAAGATCGCCTCGGTTCTCCTCCTCTCTCCATCCGGCGACCTCGATGGGGCTAGAGGAGTGGAACTTGATCCCTTCATATATGGCGTGTTTGCTGGTTGGTTTCTGGGCTGGTTTGGGTTGGCCGGTGCTGGTTTGTTGTGAGAGAAAAATACTGTTGGCTGGTTGAATAAGCCTGGCTGAAACCAACAAGCGAACAGAGTGGTAGTTTAAAATTTTCGTTGATCCCCATTCTTGTAGGGTTTGGCTTTTGGCATCATCGACGAGGTGGTGGCGACGATGACACACTGGAATAAGATCTCTCCAGCCTCTCCCTGTACCTCGTCGACGCTCGATCCAGTGTTGACAAAGAGCCAGTGAGAGCTTGGTCTATCAGATCTGTTGATTCTCTTCAGATCTTGGTGCAGTTGTGGTGGCAGTTGGTGTGTTTATCATGGGAAGTAGCCAGACGGCTTTCTTTACAGTGATTTCGACCTCTTCTCTTTGGTATGTTCTATTTCAAGGTCTAGCATATCCAATATTTTGTCCTGACGGTGAAGGATTGTAAGCCTATGTTCCTTGGAGGGTTCCTCCAGCTGATGTTCTTTCAGTGGGTACTAGACCTCGTTGTCAGCGACGAGTGAATTTTACGGTCTTTAAAGCGTTGTATGGCATGGGTGTTTGCAGGTGTCCCATTTTTTTGTTGGCTGTCACATACATACCTAGTGCATGTGGCCATCTCCAGCTAATGAAGTTGATGTGTGATGCGTGTAGCCATGTAGGTCTTGACTTGATCACTCAATGTCTCAATACACGTACGTACTACGTAGCTAGCAAGCTCGTTGCATTGGTGTGAGGACGGAAAAAATGCATGCATGCAAGCCGCATGTCAAGGCTGGGCCCAAGGCGCTGGAGCCTATTGGGCCGACTAGGCCGCAAGAGAAAGCTTCTCGTCATGCTCCTAGTCCCACCGGTTGGTGTGTTTTTCCCCCCTTTTTGTTTGATGATGTAAAAAAACCGACTAGCATGAGATTTGCCAACAAGTTAGAGAATGCGGCTATGCGTTTCTTCGTATTCTTTGGTTATCCATTTATTTCAATTGAGTTTTGATTCGGATTTATTTTGTAAACTTGGTTCAATTGTTGTAGTGGTTAACTTGTAATAATTTGGTAATTTCTCTCTTTAGAGAATGAAGCCGGATATTTCTTCCATTATCTAAAAAAGATAGGGGGTTTGCCAATGCAAGTAGCTACTGGATTAACTCCGCTTAAATCCATATCTCATATGTCTGGTAAATGATTAACTGGCATATGGAAAAATGAAGATAACGATTTGTGGGTCTTGCAGCTCTTCGCGTTGGGCAATATGATGTACAAGTAATGATCTTGTTTTTGAGAAAAAAACGATACACACTTTTTATATACATATCCTACCTTCTTTGGATATTGGTTGCAGTTTTGGACATTACTGTAACAAACATGAGGACACAAGGGAGTCCGTCCGATAGGCGAGCAGAGCTTTTAGAGGTTGTGCATTTAGACATTTTCACCAAAAAAATGGATTGAGAAGCAACAAAGATAGTGCACCCTTGCTGCTGAAATGTAAGGAGGCCAGGGGGTGTGGAGAGAGTTAAACATGGAGGAGACAAGATGCAGACTAGCCGAGGCTAATTCAGCGAAGGAGATGGTGGAATACATTCTCAGGATGGGGAGAAAGGAACAGTTAACAACGGTTATGCTGCTGTGGCTCTGGTGTGTGTGTGTGTGAGGGGGGGGGGACAAGTTCAGAGAAGAAGGAGAAAGAAGATCGGCCTCTAAAGTTGCATATATTACAGCGCTATTGACTGACACTTTTCAGAAAACAACAAGGAGAAAGGAGCGTGCCAGAAAACTGTCAGAGGAAGCGATGGTTAAAACCTGAACTGGGAGTAGTCAAAGTAAACTCTGATGGGGCGTTTCATGAAGCGAGTAAGTCGGGTGGCTGGGGCTTCATTCTCGGTGATGATTGGGGACGGGTGCTGAAAGCTGGAGCAGGCCGCGAGGAGTTTCTGGAGGATGCCTTCCACGCGGAGTTGCTAGGCCTCCTCGCCGGGCTGAAGGAAGCCTTAACATGGGAGTGGGGAGAGCAACGCTTGAGACTGATGCAACTATGGTGAAGCTGGTGATTGGGGGGGAACGAGTTCAGACTCTCATCGCGATGGGTGGCGTAATCACAGAGATCAAACACTTGTTACTAGGTAGTCCAGTTTCTTGTAGCGTCTGCCCTCGCACTGTAATAATAAGCTAGCGCACACCCTTGCAGCTATTGGCTGTACAAACACAAGTGGAACCATTACCACTTGGGATGAGGTCCCTCATGGTTTAGAGGGGTTGGTGTCTGGAGATTTGGCTGCGACCGATGAGTAATGGAAAGTATTTCCAGTTTAAAAAAAAAGAGTTTGCTTATGATTATTTCCCTCTTGGTTGTGTTCTTTTCATGTTTATTTCGAAGCAGCTATTTGATTGCTAACATTGTGATAACTTGGCAGTGTGCGGTCGTAGATACCGGAAACTATTCCTTTTTTTCCAAGAAAAAAATGATGTGTTGTATTCAATATCTGTTAGGAAGTCTCACAATGACTATTGTTACTTTTTTGGATAATAAACGAATGTCAATAATGCGTATAAGCAGCTCGCCGTTAGGTCGCCAACAATTGGTTCATGAATACCTCTAGTAGCGGGCAAGCTACATATATATCATCCGCACCCTGTCCCCGGCCTGAAAGGCTGAAAATAAGAAAAACACTAATGGATCATCGACGATATGATTTGTGTCATGCATATTATATGCATGAATATATGATCATGCCATACACATTGTTTAGGTAGCTTATTAACATAGTTTTTGGCCGGCCTGGAACAAAATTCAAGAGACTGAAACAAGACTGATAGATATATCACGCATCATGCAACATGCATGCATGGAGGGAAACACGTCCACCCGCAATGAATGCTTCATTGCAATTCAATACAGCTAACCTTAAGTACGTCATATATATGTATTGAACTGCATGAATTTTGCATATATATGCTGGTATGCATTATACAACATACATATATAATGCCTGCCAAACTGCCTCTGTATGTTTTGTTTATTTATTTGTAATCTCTTCTCTTCTCTTCTCAGGTGTTCAATTTAGCATCGATGATATATCATCAGTCGTCTCACCTTACCATCATCACTAGGTTTACATATACTGCCTCATCAGTATATAGTTAGACTACAATTGCTAGCACCCTCATATATAAATCAGGTTGTTGCTAGCAACTTATTAGAGACTAGCTAGGTCATCTCGCTTTCGCCCCACCTCTGCTCCTCTTCCTGCTCTTGCTTCAGCTTCTTCTTTTCCACCGCCGCAGCCTGCAGCTCCTTGCCTTTCCCCCATAGGAACGCGTACAGCCCCACGATGATCAGCAGCGCTCCCACCACCCTGCGCGTGCACATGTATAAACACCACTTAGTAGTTATAAACATGCATGTCATCTCGAGTTTTACCGATCACCGGTCACTAGACTAGCTCAGTTGTCAGATCTGCTACAGTGCAATAGCACCAGGCCTGAAATGAAGGTGCTGGCTCCACCCTCCAACGTAGATTTTGGTGCCGAGCAGGAGCGAGTCCATCACCGTGGTGATGATCAGTGACAGTGAGTTGAACATGGAAGGGTAGATTGGCCCGCGACGGCTCACCGCCCATGAGATGAGGACGAAGGTGATGCCCGTGTTGAACACACCCTGATGCATGATGATCCGTCATCAGCAAAAGATACATGTGTAATCCATCACGCTATTGATTATACTAGTTAACTAGTCTGGTTAACTAGTTGTCAGTCAGTATGTATAATTACCGAGTAGACGACCGTCAGAAGCTGCAGGTCCCACTTGAGTCTCCAGTCTGCCCTGTCATGGCTGAGGAACACGCTGATGATGAAGGCCTGTATGCTTCCTGACAGGCACGTCAGCATCGTCCCCCAGTACCTTGATGGAAACACCTTCCCAAGCCTTGCCTGTCGTCATTGGATGCACCACGATGGAGCCATCAGCCATCACTCATCACAGAGGGAGATGTGGATTTTAGTTGTTCAAGCAAAGACTAGATTTACCTGTACGATGAACCACAGGGCGTAGCTCAGGCAGCTGCCGCACAGGAACAGTGTGCCGGTGAGCATGTCATGGTGATGGCCACCGCTCGCCGGCGCATCGGCGTGGGAGGTATTCAGCAGGTGCGTAGGCCACAGGTGCAGAAGATGGCCTTTGAGCAGGCTAACGATCATCGTCCCGCCCACGCACGTCAGAGCGCCCAGGATCTTCAGCCTGCCAGGCCACTTCCCCAGCGCCACCTTCTCGGCTCTGAATGCATTTACATAAGCATTGTTGGCCCCAGGATCTCCCACACGGGTGAGCCGACCGTTCACTGATGTTGCTGACCACACACTATGGCTAGAGGTAAAAAAAAAGAGGGAGAACAAAGCGCGCACACACAGCATAAGCACCAGCGTTGGCCGGAGCTCTGCAGAGGAGATGGCAAAACTGAACTCGCTCACTTTACTGAGTTGCAGTGCGAAGCCAAATATACAACTCTACCCATCCAATCCTAATACACAGACATGCCAGGCTGTCATGCTGCTACAATGACTAGATGTGACAACAGGGCTGACTTTGACGCCTGCCCCTGCTGTGGCTACAGTGCAGCAGGGTAACCTTTCGGTGCCTGCCCCTGTAGTGGCTACAGTGCAGCAGCAGGGGAGTCCTTTCGACGCCTGCCCCTGCTGCGCGTCCACACGGTGGAGAGCAACAGATAACTTTACAAGCATCACATCACACGCGCAAATGGGAGACATGCATACCACCAAAGATCCATGTATGCTTTGGTTTGTTTGCGTACCTGACCAAGATGGCGATGACGAAGGTCACGATTGGGATCAGGTTCAGGAAGTCGACGGAGTACGCGGCGCTTGTGACCTGCAGGCCGTAGTAGTACAGCCCCATGGCCAACACAACTCTGAGGCATATGTAAGAACAATTTTACTTCCTAGCAGATCATCACGTTATGTATGTACAGATGGATGAAGTAAAGGTTGCCATAACAGTTTCTCTTCTCTTGTATGTATCTAGAATTCGTTGGAAAAAGACAGGGGAGTATGACAGCTGAAATCAGGCTGAGTGCGAGTGCTCACGCAAATGTAGCATTTAAGGAAATCCAACCCAACACAGCCAAGTTCAGTTTCTTCCACATTTCCCTGCAACAGACCAAGATGGAAAGAAATCATGAAAAAGAATCGGAGAAGATCAAATCGATCGTGCTATATCAGGAATCAGGACATATATCTTTAATCTCATTAAAAACACTGCATATATAGTATAGCCAACAGTTTGTAACTGCTGTTTAACAAGAAGTTCGTAGTACATCGTGATCGTACCAGAACAACAACAACTATGTATAATATAACAGAGAAGACATGTGAGGTATAACGTTGGAAAATACTGAAAATGGAAGTACTAGGTACCGATCTGTCATCAAGCTTTGGCATTATACACATTGTGTCTGGCAAAGTTGAATACGCCTCCTCGATATGCTTTGCATTAATTGGCACGCCGAGAACTAGGCAACACACGATAACGATATGCGGGTGCTGACAGTGCAGTAAGAATTAATCGAGTGGCCGGGTTGGCATTTGGCAGCAGCTACCTGTTTGAGCTGGGCTACTGACTCATGGGGGTCTTCGGTCATGGAGACAGCAAAAAGGCATGATCTCTGTCATCGCCCACAAGAGGGTGACGCGTGAGGGTCGCTATATCTGTCTGTGAGGCATGAGACGAGACGGCGACATGAGTGTGACAGAGACCTCTCTTCCATTTTCGGTCTCCTGGGTGACCTCTCTTCCATTTTCGGTCTCCTAGGTGATGTTTGGTTGCTCCTCCTAAATTTTAGTCGTTAGAATATTTGACACATGTATGGAGTATTAAATATAGACTAATTACGAAACTAATTGTATAGTTTACGACTAATTTGTGAGACGAATCTTTTAAGCCTAATTAGTCTATGATTTGACAATATGGTGCTACAGTAAACATGTGCTACCGACAGATTAATTAGGCTTTAAAAAATCGTCTCGTGGAGTACTGATGGCTTATGTAATTTATTTTTTTATTAGTATCCGAACACCCCATACAACACCCTCACGACACACCTTCTAAATTTTAGTTATCGGATCAAACACTCCCTTACTAGTGCTGACTGAGTCAGATGGACATGCATGCATTATCCGTTAGCACCGCATGCAATTAGTGGCAGCAGGCACATCAACAAAGCGACTCTAAATCCTGTCCCTGTTCATCAGAGAAGTAGCTAGCTCTAGACTCTAGTAGCTCGTAGGCACTAGTCCAAAAGGACAGAGACAGAGATCAAATCGCTTTGAAATTTCGCGGTTTCTTCGAATCTGAACGCAGCAGGGGTCAATGGAGATGTAGACTGCAATGCATGCAGATTGAGGTTGTGTTGTCTTTTGGGGTAACAGTTGGCAGTCAACAACAGTCAACAATAGCTGCTGCCCCTGGATCCCGGATGCAAACAGTCATCCATCCACTCATCTATCTATCTCTTCATTCGACGACCCAAATTATATTAATTAAAGTATCATATTTGATATATATGTATAATCTTGTGTATTTGATTTAATTATTGGTATCTGTAACTGTGAGTACGTGCATGCATGTATACTAGTATACTAAACTATGCTATTGTCACGTGGCAACCGGCCGGGTGGTAGCTAGCTCAACTGAAAAATGTTGTTCCTTGGCGGTAATATATATTTGACCACGTACTCGTATCCGGTATATATGCACATCATCAATAATGTGCATGCACGAACAAAATCTTCTACACTACGGAATAGTATTTAATATAAAATATATAATACTTATATCTGTATGCACTTGCTAGATACGTACAGCGGTACAGGGCAAAAAGTACTGCATATGTCATGCATGTGCACGCTATTGTCAACTGTGCCTTTCCCAAAAATTAAACATGTACGACGGCTGTTGTCAACTTGTCATGCCATTTCAAGATAAAAATAAAATCTTTAGGATGACTACTACTGTTGACATGTGCCATTTCAAAATATCAAACTAAAAATAAAATGTGTAGTAACTAGTGTTGCCATGCATGCGGCGACCAGGGCCAGGGCGCGCATGCATGCGAGTGCAACTGAAAAATCTATCTAAATATCTTGTGTGGATTCAGTTCAAGTCAAATCAAATCACAACAAAAAAAATCTTTTGTGAAAAAACTATATTATCGAAGCATCATGTACTACTCGTGCTGACATAGCGGCGTACGTACGTATCTAGAGACACTACTGGATTCAGGTTCTTTGCCGAGTGCCTGAGGCACTCGGCAAAGGCTATATTGCACTCGGCAAAGCCTTTGTCGAGTGTGGCACTCGGCAAAGCACACACGGCAAAAAATTGATCGGCAAAGCACTCTTTGCCGAGTGTATTTTATCGGGCACTCGGCAAAGGCTTTGCCGAAAGTGCCCCGAAACACTCGGCAAAGAAAAGCGACCGTCCACGGCGCCGGTTCCGTTGACGGTCACTTTGCCGAAAGTGTCAACCCGCCGCACTCGGCAAAGATTTTTTAAATTTTTTAAAACTTTCTTTACCGAAAGTGCCAACACGTGAGGCACTCGGCAAAGAGCTTCTATTTTTTTTTGAGAATTTTCTTTGCCGAAAGTGCCAAACCTCCATGCACTCGGCAAAGCCTTTTTAAAAATTCTTTGCCTTAAGCGCCAACCCGGAAGGCACTTTCGGCAAAGAGCTTTTTTTTTTTTTTGAAAATTTTCTTTGCCGAGTGCCAAGCCTCGTGCACTCGGCAAAGATTTTTTTACCACCTCCTGCACTTTCGGCAAAGTTGAAAATTTTTTTTAAATTTCTTTGCCGAGTGTTATAATCATAGCACTCGGCAAAGCTGGAAAATCTGTTTTCTGGTCGCCCATTTTGCCAGCTTTGCCGAGTGTTTTGACCATTGCGCTTGTAAAGGGGTCCTTTGCCGAGTGCAACACTCGCAAAGTGACCCAAAACGGCAAATAATTTTTTTGCGTTCCATCATGACAAATACATTCATACAAACATATATCACATATATATCTTATCCATCACATATATATCTCATCCATCGCATATATATCTCATCCATCACATATATATCTCATCCATCCACACATCCATCCGCCCATAACACATCCATCACAATATGTAATAATAAGTGCTCAAGTCCATCCAAATAAGTTTACAAGTTCATCAAAGTCCACAAGTGCATCACAAGTCCATCACCAAGTGAACAACAAATGTAAAAAATACAACATGCACTCATCTCGGCCACTGCGACTGTGGTGAAGGCCCAGGTGCATCATTCGTAGGTGCATGAGGTGGATTATTCGAACCACCGTCAGATGGAGACTGCACAAAGGAGAAAAGATTGCATGTGAGACAAAATTATTTTGATAGCTAATCTAGGACGATAGAGGCCATACAAGCAAAGCACAAGTGAAAGTAAAAAACTTTGATACTCACAGGAGTAGCTGCAGCTGCAGGACGCGGAGGCGGAGGTGGAACCAACAGCCCAGGTGGCAGAGACAAGCCCATACGTTGCCCAAGCCCTTGTAGGAAATCCGTAATGTCCATCAGCCTCTGCGCCTGGGCCTGCCGCTCGGCCCGCTCGGCCTCCAACTGGGCCCCCAGCTCCTGACGTTCCTTCATTTCTTGTTCTAGCCGGGCCTGCAATATTTCACTCCAATGTTTCAGTAATGCAAAGCTAATTAAGGTGTGTAAAGATCAATGTATGACGAGTAAAACAGGAATAACCTCGAGTGCGTCGACCCGGTCTTTGTCGTGTGATCGGCCGTGCAGCTTGAATGGCGGGCTCGCTCGTGCTCCGTGCTCGGATCTCGGGAGAGAGGAGTAGAGGCCGTGTCGATGACGCCGCCGCCAAGCCGTAACCGTCCATGCTTCTTGCCTTGCCCGCCCTCATGACGGCCTCTCCATCGAAGTCCTGGGTGCTCGGATCGTGGTCTGCCCCATGGAGCGACCTCGCCACCTCAGTGTACTCACTGATGCGAGAGTGGACGCTCGGGTTCGTGTATGCCTCGGGCGGGTCCTCCAGGTTGAAGGAGACGTCGGACGCCGCCTTACCCTTGTGGGCCATACACCATGCTCGAAGTCCGAGCAAGCTCGGCCACTATGTGACGCCGATCGCGAGAAAGACAAAGACGATGATTAGAAATCGATGTAATCGAGCGTGACAATAGATAAATCAATTCGTGTACCCATGCTTGTTTGTATCCGGCGAGGTTGCGGCTGCCTTGATGGTGTGCTGGACCTTGCATCAGCAAACGACGGTCCCGGGCATCCCTGTGCATCTTGAGGTACTCCTCCGTGAACCACCTGTCCACCATCATCGCCCAACACTCGGGATACGCTTGGCACCACCAGGGAATCACCTACACGTCATCAAGTATTGGACATATAAGAAGATCAAATTAAACCAACTTAATCTCAAATTGAATCAATGTTGATGTTCTTCATTTACCTCAAGGTACCGCTCCGGGTCAATTGCATCTCTCTTTATGCGTCTTTCTTGGTTTTCTCTCTCCAAGCTTCGACCCGTAGTAGGTTACGATGGGCTGGATGCGCGCCTCGTGATGCATGTCGGTGTGATTTAGTTTTTTACGAGTGCTTTGGTAGTAGTCGCCGCTCCGCCCGGCCTCAAATCCCTCCTCTCGATCTGTAATAAGTCTCCGCATACAAAAGCGATGTATCGATTCATTATTTCAAGAAAAGTCTAATGAATGCGACGTATTGAGCAATGTTGTGCAAGGGAGACTTACCCAAAACTCGCCTTCACCCGCGCCGCCTTGTTGGGGTACTCCGCGATCGGAGGCTGACGACGTAGTGGTCAAACGAGTAGGCCGGCTCCGTCTTCGGCGCGTGACGTGACAATGCCGGGAAGTGCTTTGCCGCACGAAGACCTGTGGATGCCGCTGACTAGCCGTGCGCTACCACCCGACACAACCACCCAGTTCCTCGCACGAGTAATTAAGAAAATTATTAGTTTTTTCATCATATCATATGAAGTAGTGGTGATAATATATATCTGATTACTTACTTTTGTCCTTCGGGGCGAATCAGTGGGCATTGGTGACGAAGCGGAACCTGTGGGAGACTCGCGGGACCTCGCAAG